AGCTTTAAAGTTATTGTAAGGGAAGTTGGTATGGGTATAGAAAAGAAAAAAATGTTCTAAAATTGATTGTGGTGATGATTACACATATCTTTTCAATATACTCAAATCATTGAATTATATATTTAAAAAAATAGGAATCCAGAAGATGAATATAAAAATAACAGAATTAGATAACACTTTAAATGAGTGGGAAAATTGAATCAAATAAACAGAAGGCCAAATGAATGACCTTGAAGACAAAATTCTAGACGACAGCCGACACAAGGAACAATCAGCAAAAAGAGGAAAGAACCTGAAAAAGGCCTAGGAATTGTGCGGGGCACTATCTCGAGGAACAGGTTACATCTGATTTGAGCACAAAGAAACAAACAAAAACAACTACAAGAAAATATAGTACAAATAACCTTAGAAGAAAAATTCCCTAAAAGTGGAGAAAATAAATATTCATGAAGTTGAGAGAACCTCAAACAATTCACACACCAAAAGGGAAACATTGTGACTATAGTAGTCGAATGCTCCAATATCAACAAGGTGAGAATACTGTGAGCTTTTGAGGGAAAGGTCATCAACAATGGTGAACCAATAAGAATGCACTTGGATTTCTCAGCAGAAGGATGCAGGCAAGAAGACAAAGACATATATAAAACCCTGAAAGAAATAACAGACAAAGCAAGATCAACATAAAAGACAACTTCACACATAAATCAACATACTTAAGACAGCATTCAAAACAACACAAGTAAAAAAAAGAATAAGTAAAGCTAAATCACCATAAAAACAAATGTGTCAAAATGATACCCACAAACTGATACATATCAATAAGACTGAATGTTAATGAATTAAATACACAAATCAAGAGAATGTATGTAGCAGACTGAATAAAGAATAAGATCCATCAATATGCACCCTACAATAAACACACATTAGACAAAAAGACAAACAGACTAAAAATCAAAGGCTGGGAAAAAATATATATTCTAGTTAATGGCAACTAGAAAAATTAAAAAGCAAACGAGGGAATATCAATTTTGAATAAAATAGAGAAAGAAGGGACAAAGAAGGGTACTACATAGTGATTAATGGGATAAAAGAAATAGACCATATAACTATACTAGACATATAAGCACCCAATGAAAGACCCTCAAATTACATGGATCAAATTCTTGTACAGAAGACAGAAAGAGAAGATATGATAATAACATTAAGAGATTTCAAAATAATACTATCAAGGAAACACATCATTGGAAAAGAAACTCAGTACAGACAAACAAGATTTAAACAACACAATCAATTCAATCTATTATATACACAGCACTCCACCCAACAACAGAAAAGTATAAATATTTTCGAGTGTGCATGGAACATTCTCCAAAATAGATCATGTAATAGGGTGTATTAGTCAGGGTACTTTAGAGAAACAAATCCACAGAAACTCGTGTATAAGAGAAAGCTTTATATATAGGTTAAGTGAGCATCAAGATAACATCCCAACCCAGTGCTGCCCAGCCCACAAGTCCAACATTAACCCATTAACCCATATGTCCAACACCAATCCACAAAGTCCTCCTCCATCTCACAAAACATACACAATGATGCCGACTGCAGGAGGAAAGCTGAGTCAGTGAATATGTAAGCATCTCAGCGCTGGCAGGGGTCTCCACAAGGCTGCTCCAGCACTCAGCGCTGCATCAGGAAAGGTCCATGTGGCTTCACTTTGGGGATGTCTTGCAGGAAGTCAGCCTTGCAAGCTGAAGCAGGGAACTACTAAAGCAGTTGCACCCTGGTGCGACCATCACAAAGCAAGAGACCTGAGAACTAGGAAGGCAAGGCTCACCAAACCATTTATCCCTCCACCCTTCAATTAATCCCACATGTGTTTATCGGCCAGGTTGGCACAATAAACTAACTCATAGGACATAAAGCAAGTCTTAATAAATTTTTAAATATTAAGATTTTGAAATCCATTTCTGAAGACTGCTTTAAAATTATAAATCAAAATTTGAAAGAGAAAAAGAAATCACTCAAATGCATGGAAACTGAGCAACATACTGCTTAAAAACTACTAGCTAATTAATGAAATTTTTTTAAGTGAAATTTTAAAATTCCTTGAAACAAATGAGAGCAAAATCACCGCACAGCAAAGCCTTTGGGGCACAGCAAAAGCAATACTAGAGAGCAATTTACATAATAAATGCACACATGAATAAACAAGAGAGAACCAAATCAACTCATTCTCCCAGCATCTTCAATAAGCAGGACAAAAGCAACAAAATAACCTTTCAATCACTAACAGAAAAAGAAAATCACAACAATTATAATAGGAATAAATGCATCAGTAAATAGAAAATACCATTAAGACAAGAAGATGCCATTAAAGATATCTATGAGGAAAATAATTCAAGAAAACAATCCTATTTTTAATAGCACACAAAAGATTAAACACTTAGGAATAAACCTAGTCAAAGAAGTAAATGCCTGTACAAAGAAAACTACAGAACACTATTACAGGAAATCAAAGAGACCTACGTAAAATATACAATATCTACTATTCATGACAAAAATATTTAATATTTTGAAGATGTCAATACTACTTAAAACAATCTATCAAGACAATTCTAATCCAAATCCCAGCTCTATTTTTAAAGAAATGGAAGACATTTACCAACATCATAAGGAGAGTGAAAAGATCTAGATTAAGCAGATAACTCCTTAAAAAGAACAAGGTAGGAAGCCTCTCATTACCTGACCTCAAACCTTTCAGTCACAGTAGTCAAAACCATCTGTCAGTTTTGTCATAATGCGATAGTTTGCGTGTTGCTGAGATGCTGCACCATTGAAGTGACAACAGGGTCACCCAACAGGGTCACCCAAAGTGAATAGGTTTCAGCAGAGCTTCCAAACTAAGAACAGACTACAAAGAATGAATAGGCTGTCCATTTCAATTAGCCACAGAAAACCCTATAAATAGCATTGAAACAATGTCAGCTACTGAAAACCTCATGAAAAGCACATTGTCAGAGATAATGCCAGCAAACGAGCCTCTTAAGCTGGAAGGCACTCAAAATATGATGAAGGAAGAGCTGCCCGCCTTTTCAAAGTAGAATGACCCATAAGGACATGGACGGGGTAATGTGGATGGAGTAAAGCCTGTGCGAGATCTTCATTTGCTGGATGGAGCATGACTCAAAATGAGAACAGCTGCATAAATCGACTGGTGATCAGAGCTTGGAATGTACAAAGTATTAATCTAGGAAAACTGGAAGTAGTCAAGAATTAAATAGAAAACATGAAAATCAACAGTCTAGGCAGGAAGCTGACATGGATTGGTATTGGCCATTTTGAATCAGAAAATCAGAGTTTACTATACTTGGAAGAAAACAATCAAGAGGAATGCCATAGCATTCGTAGTTAAAAAAAGACATTTCAAAATTGGATCTTGAAGTACCATGTTGTCTGTGATATGATAATATCCATCTGCCTTCAAGGAAATTCAATCAATATAATTATTATTCAAATTTATATACCAACTACAAAAGTTAATGATGAAGAAATTCAAGAATTCTACCAGCACCTTCAGTCAGAAACTAATCCAACATGCAATTAAGATGTACTGGTATGTTAAAGTTGGAAATAATGAGAACGGAACCGCAGTTGGAAAATATAGTCTTGGTGAAAGAAACAGAGCTGGAGATCAAATGATAGAATTTTTAAGATTAATGACTTGTCATAGCAAATACCTTTTTTCAAAAACACAAAACGTGATTATACAGGTGGACTTCTCCAGATGGAAGACACAGAAATAAAATTGACTACATCTATGGGAAGAGACAATGGAGCTCAGTATTAGCAGCTAAGACAGGGACTGACTGTGGAACAGACCATCAATTGCTCATATGTAAGTTCAGGTTGAAGCTGAAGAAAATTAAAACAAATCAAGATACAACCTTGAGTCTATCCCACCTAAATTTCAAGAAGATGAGCCTAACTTCTGAGCACCTGGTTAGCAGAAGGCTATGGATAACTGAAAGCCTAAAATCCATTTGCAGAGCCCCCACCAATAGTAAGCTTCCACTGAACTCCCTTAGACCACTGACTAGGAATGTGAATAATCTTCCCTCAGAGGGCATTGGAAAGTGGATTACTGCAGATATTGTTCAGGTAAAATTTAACATCAATTTGTTTTCCCTTTTGACCCATTTTAATTCTAGTTTCTATTATCTTCTACTTTCTTCCACATTAAGATTTTTCTGCATTTTATTTCACTGTCACTGTTGGGGCTTTTTGTAAAATTTCCTATGAAATCCAGGATAACTAGTCCATAGAGACAGTTACTAGATTAATTGTTCCTTAAGATTATGACAGGGAAGGTTGGGGGGTGGAGTGGGGGTGGGAATGAGAAGCTAATAATAATGGATACAAAGATGAACCAAAAGTTCTAAAATGGATTGCAGTGATGATAATACAACTCTTTTTATTAAATTTAATCCCTTGAGTTATATGGTACATTAAATATATGCCAATAAAACTTTAAAAATAAGATAACACACTCTATGTCTATCTCTGTTTCTCTAATGATGAATAAAAGCAACCTATCAATTTTAAACAGAGCTAAACTAGACTTTTAATAATTGTTTGTTTTCTCCAAATATATGTCTATGGTTCATCATCTATTCATAATTTATAGCACGATAAAAGCGACCTGCTAAATTTACAGAAACTGCAGAAATTTTACTAAACAATAATTCTAAAGGAAATTTATATTTGCAGATTACCTTTATGACAGATAGCTTATGTAAGACCGTGCATTTTCCAATCTCATTAAAGTATATGTGAAGCCTCATGTACTGCCCAAGCTTACTTTTCATGAAGCACCAACTTCTTATTTCAAAATGTCGATAATTCAAGAGCTTTGTATCTCCATTTAAGCTAAGCAATTTTCAATGAATCATTGAGCAATTATATAAACAGTAAGAGTCTTACTACAGATTCTTTATTCTTACCTCCATGGGAAACGCTTTGAAATTAACAGTGTGCTCAGAACCACGCTGGTTTTCTCTGCCCCAGTGAAATCTAACTTCATATAGTTCAAATTCATGCCCTTGAGGCAACGGTCCTCCTGATAGAACTGAAAAAAGAAAACAAATTATACTTAAATACATTTAAAACATACTTAATAAGAACAGTATTATAACATTGAGGGTATTTTTGCCAGATTTTCTTGAGTTGCTAGAGATTAAATTTATACTGAGAAGCATATCATGACTGTGGGGTAAATTTAAACTGGGGTAAAATTTGGGTAAAAAAGGGGGCTTTGGTGGTATTGCTGGGTAAGCATTAGACTGCTAACTGCAAGATCAGTAATTCAAGCCCATCAGCAATTCCTTGGGAGAAAGATGAGGCTATTTGCTCCTGTAATGATTTATAGCCTCAGAAACTCTATTCCAGGTTTCTAGGGAGTCAGAATTGAGAGAAAGGTGAGGCTTTATACTCCTAGAAAAATGTATGGTTTCAAAAACTCACAGGGGCAATTCTACTCTGTCCTATAGGGTCTCTATGATGGTGAGTGAGGAGTCAGAATGGACTCAAGATTAACGGGTAGGAACTGGCTTAAGTTCTTCTACCAGCCATTCAGATATATTAGCAAAGACTGAAATATTTAGCAATGATATATGTATTTTAACAACTTGTATAATTTAGATATAAGTAAACAAGAAAAACAAATGATATAGCTATACCAACCCTTCCTGAGACTTAGTTAGCCCTGCCCAGAAGGCGCCAATATGTATAGGTCTCACACTGACCCATATTGGTTCTAGACCTATTAATAAATCAAATAATAATTACAGATCATCCATTTGTCCTACTAACTTTTCCAGTTAGAAAACAGGTGCGGGTGAATAGAATTCTATAAAGAGAACTACTATTAAAGAGAAAGAGAGTACCATTATTAAAACAATCTGATTTTTCAAGAAGAAAATCATACTTAAAATTCAGACAACTATTCACGAGCAAATGCAGTGCAAATGAAATAGCACTGTTATAAGACATATGTTTTTTAAAGTTGCCTTTGCATCGATTCTGACTCAGAGCAGCCCCATGTGTGTCAAGGATTATTCCATAATGTCTTCTGAGGCTGATTTTTTGGAAGCAGGCCACCAGCTCACCAGACCTTTCTTCTGAGGTGCCACTAGATGGACTTGAACTACAATCTCTTTGGTGAACAGTTGAGCATAATAACAGTTTTCACCACCCAACGACTCCCATAGAATATTCTAACTTCGAAATATGACTCAGAACTTTATTTCGAACAAGACACCCCAAAGGAGATGAAAAACATATTTGTACAAGTACTTGTCAGGAAACAATGAAAACTTTTTAGTTAAACACTGATCAGCAAAAACTAAAATTGAAGTTTAATACAAATATGATGAGCTTCATGACCAAATTTATCTCAATACAGGGCACTTTTTTCTTGCAAACTCAATGCTAAAGGATCTCCTCTAAAATTGTGTAAATTGTGTACGAGCAACAAAATTCACCCAAGCCTCATTCCCAATCCCACCCCAGACCCTAAAACTAGGAACTCTGACATAGATTATCATCCACCCTTGATTGTCATTGTAGAAGCAATAACAGGACCCAACATACCCTCTTCAGGAAAAATGTTGTTAACCATTCTTTCTCTGAAAGCTAACTCTGGTATGAGTTGGTTGTATCTTCACCTAAAAACCTGTTCCAAGTATTGTTGAAGGCTACTTACATCAGGTACCTATATTATAGCAGAATAGCACAGATTTGAAGGAAGAAGAAAAGCAAAAAAAAAGACAAAGGCAGAAAATAGGCTGAGAAATGAGGCTATTCAAATATCCATGTCACAAAGCCCTGACTAAAGGTGCCCTACAAATTTAGTTCTAAGCTTTCTAATTGCTCAAACCTATACCCCAAAAAAGCATCTGTAATAAAAGGCTATTTTAATTTTCTAGTCGATCAATCTTTCATGGAAAGGGAAAATGGTGAGATGCATGGTCTTTAAGACAGTATCACTTCCTTCAGCCTCAAGGTTCTTTGTAGTACAGCAAATATAAGGCAGATCAGTGTCATCATTTCTATTGTCCAGAGAGACTAATGCTGCTAAGAAGGCTATGAATAGCTAGCCCCTGCCCTCTAGAGCCTAGCATGGAGCCAGAAAGGTAAATCTTCTGGTTAGAAACCCAACTTTCAGCATCTATGAGCATAAACTACAAAATACTGAATTCTTGAAGTCTGGATTTCTAGCCTACAGTCCCCCCACCCCCCAACCCCCATGGAGCATTATATCTCATCCTATTTCCCAAGATAATTAAATAAAAGAAAGTATACATAAATAGATCAAACTGTTTACAGCTATTCTATGCTTCATCCCAGGCTCATTTTCTCTTATCTTCCAAAAGGATCTAGTAGGTGGATTTAAGAATGTAAAAAAAATGTTTTTATTTCAACCAGATTACCACATTCTGAGTAACCTCACATCTCATCTTTCCCTAACTTGATATTGAGAAAAACAAAGAAGACCTTACATTTACCCCCTGTGTACCTCATCCATCTCTTAAGCCAGGAAGGAAGGAAGGAAGGAAAGTTTCTGGTGTGCCCAATGTCACCGTTTAGTTTACATCACCAGGACTACAGAACGTACCCCACCCAGACTGTCCACACAGAGATTCCGGTACGAGTTCTGCAGCACTCTACTTTTAAAAGAACGTGATAAAATGGTCCAGAGGCAGCACAGTTACCACCTTGCTCAGGGAACAGTATGAGTAACACAATAAAATAAAGCACATGTGAAATGGGAAAAAAGTTTTCTCCAAAACTCTTTCATTTTTGTATACAAAGAGCCCATACACACCTATACCACATCGTGAACCACATAAAACAGTTTTCTACTTTTTTCTCCAGGAAACAGATGAGAGAGCTATCATGGGAACAAAAAGAGATCTATGCTTAAGAAATATTACCTTCCCCCTCACAGATGCTCAATACTTCATTACAGAAGCAAAGCCACTACCATGAAGTCGACTCCAACCCATAGCAATCTTTTATCAGGTTTCTGAGACTCTAACTCTTTAGAGGAAAGATAGACTCGTCTACATTTCTCAGAGCAGCTGGTGGGGTCGAAGCACCAACCATGAAGCTTGCAGTCCAGCATGTGCCTAAAGCACCACTAGGGCTCCTTTTACCCTAAATAATAAAGAATAAAGAATAAATACCCTAAGAATAAAATGAAAAACTAAATCCATTGTCATGAAGTTGATTCCAACTCACAGTGTCCCTATAAGATAAATGAGACCGACCCCTTTTGGTTTCTGAGACTTTAAATCATTTTAGGAGCAGAAAATTTCATCTTTTTCATAAGCAAAACTGGTAGCTTTGAACTGCTGAGTTAGCCACTCAAAGCATAACCAACTCTGTTTTAACAGGAATAGAGTCTTTAATTAAAATTTTGTGATAAAGCATATGCTTTAAATGCCTCTGAACATTCAAGCTGCACAGACTCACATTTGGATAGTAAGAATTGCAACTCAAAACCAAACCCATTTCCAGGGAGTCAATTCAAACTCACAGAAACAGAGTTTCCAAGACCATAAATCTTCACCAGAGTATAAAGCTTCATCTTTCTCCCATGGAGCAACTGATGGAGCTGAACCAGGAACTTTGTGGTTAATAGCCCAGCCTCTAACCTACAGCACCAACAGTGTCAATCTATTTATTCTCTTTTCAGCAAACATTTTTCAGCACCTACATTGTACCAGGCACAATATTAAGTGCTTCTAATACACTAATTTTGACCAAACAAAAACCACTGGCCTCGGGGATCTTTCATACTATCAAGCTGACAGTGAGGCATTCTGCCCAAGGCTGATCCTCCAAGAAACAAGGACAATTACGAACCTTTTGCTGCAGACTAATAGTCCAAGGACAAACCACATTAGAATCAAGTGATTGTACAAATCCTACATACTACTAAATTCAGTGTTTTATGAGGAGCAAGGGGAAAGTGTTTCTGGTAAATTGTGGCTGATTTATCTACTTGGCAACATCCAATGGCTTTATTCTACTTTTGTTATATAGTTTTACATTAAGCAATTATTCCTACCAGAAATCAGTCCTACTAAAAGGAGAATCCTGTTTATACATTTATGAACATCAAATTCTGCCAATGAATTTTGTTCACTACATGAAAGGTTTATTAATTGTGATGTCATTACATTCAATGAAACGACAATTAAACTCATACTGATGACAGGGCACTTTTTCTTGGAGAAACACAATTGTAAAATAATATAAAATAAACTGACTTCATTTTTTAATGTTATTAAAGATAAATGTATAGATTAAGTGCTCCCCTTTGGAAGTGCCTGCATAATTTTGGAACCTCAAAAACACTTGATGTACATATATCAGTGACAGAATTCACCCTTCCATACAGGAGACCAAGATTCAAATCCAGGCAAATCAATACACCAAACTCAGATTTGAGACTCGGGTGGAATCTTATGTGGTGTTATTGTACTACACAGGCTTCAGTAAGACTTCAAGACTAAGACAGATTAGAAAGAAAGGACTAGTGACCTATTTCCAAAAATCAGTCAGTAAAAACTCTATGGATCACAAGAGTCAGATCCACAACTAATCATGGGAATGCTGCAGGTCTGGGAAGCATTCCTTTCCATACATTAGGTCACCATAAATCTGAGTCAATTCTATTGCAGCTGACAACGAAAACTTATCTAAACTATCTACAATCCTTTATTTAGGATGAAATTTGTTGTTCAAAAGGCCAACTATTTGTATCCGTTTGATTCTGGAAGCTAGTAAACAAGTTTCAGGTCTATCGGATGCCATGTCCACGAACTATAAAAGGTGAGAAGGATAGTCTTTCTACTGCCTTGCTAGGTGCCTCAAGAACCAAACTTAGTAGCCCTCTAAGCAGGGTGCTTCAGGAGCAGGAAGGGGAGCATACACATAGGAGAGCTCATAGAAAGAGCCAAGGCTGAGACTGAGGAATCAGAGCTCAGGGAAGAATTTCCAAAGTAGATGTTAGCTACACTGTATCTCAAAGAAAATTCTAAGAAAAAATGTGATAAAAGT